TCTAACTGCAACTAAGGTTACATACCAGAAAATATTTTTTTCTGCTTGCTGGCTGCCCTAGGTATCTTCCAAAGTGATAATGGAGCAGAGTTCACTTCAACTTTTTACCAGAAAGCTAATGATATTGTGGAAATCTCACCCGCCACAAGGATCTACAGAACCTGTAAATGGGGATATGCGAACAAGCTTCTACCAGCCTAGAACAGGTCATCTTCTCTTAGCCTGTAGTCCAGGGCACCAGGAAGCACAGCTCCATGGTTGGTGGCCAGTTCTTGTTTCCTTTGCTATTCTCCAGTGTGTGCCCTCAATACCACTAAAGGAATCAGTGATTGACCAAATCAGTCTCTCTCTGCTTTATAGGCAGGAGAAGACTGAACAAGGTCAAGTTATAATCATACCTGCCAGGAAAGATAACTGACTAGTAAAGAATTTACATTTGTACTGATTCATAAGACACATAATCAAGTTGTTTGAAGCATTTTTTGCAATCACATTTCTTGATTTAGAACTCTCTGCAACTGTTCACCACCCTTAGGCTAAAATAAAAGTACTCTTTAAGTTGCAGTATATGTAATAAAATTTGGTAGAATCTCTTTATCCTTATGTTATTAGTACTAGTGATAAACTTTACAGATATATTTTCAGTTCTTCCGGGAACACTTTTTGCTCCAAATGTGAACTAGAAAAGATGTTAAGTATCTTTCAGTTTGTTTCTAAGTAATACAAGGAAAAAGCAACAGTCACCTGTCACCAAGGCCAAATGTTGTGATGCTCTATACCCATTGTGATGCTCTCTCTGAAATATCTCTGTCTCTTAATACATTTAGTTTAGGAAAGTAAGAAGCGTATGAGGCCACTGGATGCCATTGTGAAAATGTGTAAAGAAAAGGGTAAGTAACCTGACCGTCAAAATAGTACCACCCTAAGAGAATTCACGACAGCATGGAAAATATGATTTTCTGATCTATTGTACTGCATGGTAAGTACAGTTAATAATAATGTATTGTATATTTCAAAATAGCTAAAAGAATAAATTTTTGACATTCTCACTCCTAAATTATATTAAGAGGTGAGATGATGAATACGTTAATTAGCCTGATTAAATCTTTCTGTATTTTGGTTCAGGGCCAGGGTTCAAAGCAAAACAAAAATAATGATGTCCTGAAAACCTTAGAAACTAAGATTTTACTACTCCTTACAGTTTTGGTTTTGCTTTGCCTGCAGATTAGCATTGAGAGGTAAAGTTATTAAATAACCACATTCAGCATTTTGAAAATGGTTTTTTAAGGCTGATTCTTCATAGCCACAGTATCCCATTATACCCAGCAACCAACTATATTAATTATTTTTGAATTTTGGCCTTTGTGAAAATGTGTAAAGAAAGGGGTAAGTAAACTGACAGTCAAAATAGTACCACCCTAGGAGAAGTCCTAGTAACTAGACGTGAAATAACTTGTTGGTAATAAAATTCCCTGGAGCGAAGAAGAAAAGGGCCTTGTACAACACATTTTGTATACGGCAAAAGGTCAAATTACATCTCAACATGACGCCACTCAAGGTGACTTGGAGTGAATTAAAAGTTCAAATATGATGGGTAAAAATTTTTTTAAAAGGAAATTTAGCAGAGTATTTATGTGGCCTTGAGGTAGGGTAAATTATTTAAAAAGCACAATAATACTGATCATAAAATAAAGGTTAATAAATTCTGCGATGTCAGAATTAAGAAATTCTGTTCATCCAAAGGTCACTTAAGGATAATGAAAACATAAATTATACTGCAAGAAGGTGTTTGCCACATATACAACTGACAGTTGATTATTAACATGCTTTAAAAGATTTCATAGCGATAATTGAGAAAAAGAGAAAAAAACTGAGTAGAAAAAATGGCCAAAACAATCACAACATTTTACTAGGCAGGCATTGCAAATATCCAAAAAGTATCTGAAAAAATGTTCAACCACATTAATAAACAAAGAAGTGAAAATTAAGATATTAATGAGATACCATGTTATATTTACTGGGCCGTTAAAAATAAGACTTTTGATGATATCAGAATTTGTCAAAAATACAGGGCAAAATAATGCTTTATACATTGCTGCAAAAAGCATAAAAAGATGGAAAAAAATGGCCAGGTACAGTGGCTCATGCCTTTAATCCCAGCACTTTGGGAGGCCAAGGTGGGTGAATCACAAGGTCAAGAGATCGAGACCATCCTGGCCAACATGGTGAAACCCCATCTCTACT